GTCGATGGTGATATTATCACCGTGATAAATGCTAATAGAAACTTTTTATAGTGCAATTAGTCCATTAATGGAAATGGAGAGAATTCAGTGCTTATAACTTTGGTAATAATAATTATTGATGAAAATATTTAAAATTAGGCACAATTTAGTCACTTACTTACCTACATAATGTAAAAGAGGATGCATTGAAAAAAATTCAAGAAATGTTTTTTCAATACAACCTAATTACATTTTATAAATAACATTTCTGCAAAATTTAAGTTTTTTCATAAATTATTACCAAAGTTATAAATTTTAATTTCAAAAAATACATGCATTTTTTCATTGAAAGGTTTGACTGCGATGGTGGCCAGGTTAAAATTAATATTGAGAGCTGAAACTTGGCATAATTTTTTTTATTTATATTTAACCAATTCTAAGAGAGTTGTATTATAATAGTTAATCGTTAAATGACATAATAGCCATCATTAAACTGCTTCACTGGTAGCACAAAATAACTTGGTGATAATAATTAAACTGTTTAACAGTAATAATGATATTTCTTTAATAACTGTAGTTAATAGTTTTAAATATGTTTATAGATTGAATAACCATTGTTAAAGTGTTTTAAGACAACAGGTATTATAACCATAACTAAGCTGATAGACTGTCCCAAATAGTATACAACTTTTTAATAACTATTATTAAATATTTTATTATCAGCTTTAAACATTTCTTTCAGTGCGTCAACTGCAACTATCAAACAAATACTAAAAATATTATGACCATTTGTCTCCTTTTATTTTGATCTTCATATAAAAAAAAAATGAGCCGCCAATATCAAAGCGGCAAAAGGTGCTTTATAGCGCAAAAAAGGGCGGTAACCTTTATCCTATGTATGTTTAAGTATTACATGTAAGAAAGTTTATCGTTACAAAGTACTGATTGACTCTTTGATTTTGCGCCCCCAAAATGTTGCGCCTGCGTGCGTGCACGCACTGCACGCTCGCCAGGAACGGGCCTGAAAATCACAACCACTAATAATAAAACATACCACGTGCATTACTTAAAACCTCCAAGAAAAATTAATAAAGACACATCTGTTACAGATGACGCCGTTCCGTCTACTTCTTCTTATCACCCTACCAATGACAATGACATCCTTAGAAATAACGACTATAACCAACCCTCTACTTCCCATGCTCCTGAACCAAGCACGAACTACCAATACTAAACACCCTAATAAAAACCGTAAACTTGACAAAAATAAATAAACATCTAACAATACTTAATAATAGCTTATCCGAAATCAAAAAGATAAATGTTAAAAGCGAAATGACTCTGTTAAACCCCATTATATCAATGCAAGAGGAACACTGTACCTACTTTACTAATTGAACGTATTTTAAATAAACTAAATAATTTTTTACCAAAAAGACAAAAAAGAGGACTTTTAAACATAGTAGGCTCAACTCAAAAATGGTTATTTGGCACGTTAGATGACGATGATGGAAAAAGATTCGAAAAAACAATAAACATTATTATCGAAAACCAAAAAAACATTCATCACGACATGGAAAACCAAATCACCATACTTAAACATTTTTCAGAAAAATATTCTCAATTGTTATCTAATTTACGAAAAAATCAAAACTTAATAAACGTACAAATTTATAACTTAAATAAGAAGGTAGAAATTGTCAGCGAATTTCTCTATCTACAAAACTCTTTGCAACTAATAACAACCAATTGTCAATACTTATTAGATATAATTGAAGAAGTAGAAAACTCAATTTTATTTTCCAAATTAAATATTTTACATAACAACCTTATAACATTACCTGAAATATTTGCTTTAAAAGCAAAACTAGAAAGTCTTTATAACAACAAAGACATTTTACCTAAATTTAAGGAAGCCAATTCATACTATAACTATTTAGGAATACAATCTTATTTTAGCAAAGATACAATTTATTTCTCTATACATTTTCCACTTTTAACAAAGTCACTTTACGATATCTACCACCTATATCCTATTCCAATTAATCATTCCTTAATCATCCCAAAACAACCTTACTTGTTGTTAAACGCAAAAGAACACCGATACCTACCAAGGAACTGCCCGTTAGTAGAAGAGTTCTCCATTTGCCATGTTACGCAAACACTCACCGACAATAAGGAAGCAGATGACTGCCTACCGGCAGCTTTTAGTGGAAGAAATTCAACCTGCCAGACAATCAGTGTACAAGTTTCCCAGGACATCATCGAACCCATTTGTGAAGATCACGTGATATTAGTGCCACAAAAGTCAATAACTATCGAACTTAAGTGCAACAATACCGGGTTTTTCACAATAACTAAGCCCTCAGTTATTAGAATCCCAAAAGACTGTGCGATAACTGCGAAGGACTTTTTCTTAGAAAATAAGAAAACCTTAGCCTTAAACAATGTATTTATTTTACCAAATATTTATCTTAAAGAAAACATAATTCCCACGAAACCATACAACATAAATAATATAAGTTTGGATAAAATTACCGATATTCAAAACAAAATTGAAAAGATGCAAATCCATTCCCTACAACCACTAGATAAAGAAGATAACCCCTTTAATATGTAGAGGAAGTGGGGGTAATTCGGAATACTGTTGGTAATTTGGAATACTTAAATATTGAGGCTATGCTTAGCGCCATCTCGTTAAATATGAAATAAACTACTAGAATAGCCTGTATTTTGTGGACATGTGATTTTGTAGATATTTTGATTTATGGTAGAGGGCCAACACATGTGAAAAATTATTTGTGGGGTAACTAAAACTTTTTTAGTGGTAATTAAATCGGCAATCATAGCTTCGATTTTTATCTTTAAATTAACTTAAATTGTATCATCAGGTAAGTAAAGGGTTATATTTTTAGTTGTTAATTGTACTTTTTCGATATGTTAAAGCATTTACTTTTTTTTTACATATTATGGCGTAGGTCTTTATATTGCTAATTTGGAATACCATAAATAATGCAAATTTTAAATATTCCAAATTATATTCATTTTTTGTAATATTTGATAATCAATCCAATTTTCTCTTTTAATTAATATTTGGTTACCTTTTTAAAATGTTTTATTAACCTTTTTAATATAAAACATTTGCTGCTACTTTGAAATATTCCAAATTGGTGGTATTCCAAATTAACTTCATGTTACGTAAACAGAGATTTTTTACACTTTTTTTTTCATTAGTGAAAAAATCCTTTTAAAGTAATTTAAATAGTTTAAAATTTTCGTATGGCATAGTACAAATGTAGATCTTGGACATGTTATTTATTTTAATCGAAATAATTTAAATTTAAATTTTTTGCTATTTTTTTTTAAACTACTATTCCAAAATACCCTCACTTCCTCTACCTTTTTATACTATCACTTTTAATTATTACCACCATATGTGTTGCTATTGTAGTTTATTTTATAAAATATAAAAAAATTGTTAAAATAAAAATTAGTAGAAATAGAAAAATTGCTGTAGACAAAGAAAACCAAATAGCGGACAATAGTCCCCCATTGTGTTTTTCTACTTAAGAATGGAGGAGTTATGTAACCACTCACAATACACCCCTTTGTACCATGTGTTAGATATAAGAACATAGTAGTTAAGTTTTATAGTTTTAATGCAATAGTGATAAGCGACTTATTGCAAAATAGAATTAACCTTAGAAATTAAGATAGATAGACAATGTATAAATAAGGGTAAAATCCATTTTTTAGATTAGGTATTACTGTTTTGGTAGTTGTACAAGTAGGTAGTCTGTAGAACAAAATAAATGTATTTTCATGCAAAGTCTCAATATTGTGTTTTAAACAAATAAATAAATATTTTTAACCAAGTTCACAACGTGAGAAAGAAAATTAGCTCTTAAAAACACGACTACACTCGTTGTCGATTGGTTGTGGATATGTTTATTGTTTTAATTAAACCAAATGAAGGATATGATTTTAAACCTTTCAAATCAGAAATACCCGGACAACATTCGTGATATTCATACGAACATATGTTCGTATGAGTATCATGTCGTGATTTTCACAAATTTTATTCATACTGATATCATACGGAAGTAAGCGCGTGATAAATGAAAATCATACTAACGTCACATCGTGATTTTCACAAATTTTATTCATACGGACATCATCCGGATGTCACAGCGTGAGAAATGAAAATCTTGTCGTGATTTTTTATGCCATCGCTGTTTGCGATTGACTGATGGCACAAAAAATCATGTCGTGATTTTTTATGCCAACAGTGTTTGGATAATCATTTTTGCGCTACGTTCGTACACTAAGAGAAAAATAATGTTGAATCAACAGTTTTTGCGGTTAAATACATTCAATATTTCAACTTCGTATTCATTATTTGTCCCGAACGCACGTGCGCTTAGTTAGTGAACAATTAGTGTGATTAAAGTGAAAAAAAATTGACTTTAAAACCAAAAAAATGCCCATAGATAGTGGTGGAGAAAATACTACAATGGAATATGAAAGCTCAGACTCCAAAAGAAAATTCTCGGAAACCTTTTCAAGAAGGGAAATTATCAAAATTATAGGTACTGGGAACGACACCGATAGTGTATACGACACAAATCCACCTGCAAAAAAGCAACACAAAAACTACACAAAAAAAACAACAACAACACAGAAAAACCTCGATGATACGGAACACAACAAATATAAATATAAATATAGATTCACAACCCTAGACCCAAATATAACACGGGAATCCATAACTAAAGTGTGGATAAAGGAATGCAATGAAAAAAACGATAAAATAATAAAAACAGTTGAAGCATTTATCCTACTAACAAATACAGAAAAAACTATTTACCTAGAAAACCTAAAAAGCAAAAACATTATCAAGCAATTCACTACACCCAGAGAAGAACCACTTAGATGGTCAAGACGTTATTCCGAAAATTATTATTGTCCAAACAACTAAAGAAAACATAAAAGCATGCCACCCCAGTTTTTTGGGCAATCTTATGTTCTTAAAATGTGAGGGAGTGAAGGACATAGAAATATCAGGACCCAGCCGTATTAGAGCAACATGCGAAACTGCAGAACAAGCAAACAAACTGATTGAAAATGACATCTTTAAACTCTACAAGTATGAAGCTTTTATCCCTGCAGAAAAAGCTGAAACAAAAGCCATAATACACATCGACAAAGTTTTCACTATAGAAAAAATCACCCATGCCGGAAAAGGATTAAACGACGAGAAAATAATAAGAGCCAGAAGATTCACAAAAAAAATCCTTAAAGAAGACAATTCCGAAGAAATAATTGAACTAAACACCGTCCTATTGTACTTTAACACAGATAAAGCCCCGACTCACATCACTATAAATGGACTACGTATTCGTACAGAACAGTACATTGAACCAGTGGTTCAATGTAGAAACTGTTTGGCATATGGACACTACAAAGCCCAATGCCGCTCCACCACCAAATGCCTAAAATGCGGAAGCACTGACCATATTTTAGAGACATGCAACGCGGAAAAACCAACTTGCACAAATTGTAAAGGAGAACACAACACAAATGACAAAAATTGACCCAAATACAAAGAACAAAGAAGAATACAGACAACCATGACCAAAGAAAACAAAACCTACTCGGAAGTTACAAAAAAAACAAGCACAAACTTAGAGGCTACCATACAACATACCATTGACATGGCGAGCACATCCAACACGACCTCCAAGGTAAAAAGCACAAGAACAATAACACGAGCAATAAAAAACTTTTTCGAATCGATGAATGAAGAACCTGATGTCATACAACTAAATGCAGAAACCACCAATAGGATTACACACTTTATGTATCTTATCATAGAACTACTTGTTAACAATCACTCAAATAACTCACCGAACTCGACTAAGGACACAGAAACCCACCAAAACACATCCAACCAAAACATTTAATAACTACATAAATATAATGCAATGGAACGCTCAAAGCATAAGCAACAAATGGGCAGAAATAAAACAATACATTACAACCAACAAAATTCACATAGCAACTATAAGCGAAACCTGGCTCAAACCCAATAACTAGCTATCCCTTAAAAACTACGACCTGATAAGGAACGATCGTAATGACGGCCATGGAGGACTACTTATTGCCATACACATACAAGTATTACGTACAAATTAATTAAACAAACTAACGATCACAATATACAAACCCAAACAGTGGAAATAAATAACAAATACACATTACAGCATATATACATTCCACCAAATCAAAATGTGGAAAAAAACAATATCAAAAATATATTCGGCTCAACTACAAACAAAACGTGTATAATAACAGGAGACCTAAATGGGCATAACCCTCTATGGGGATCTAACTACACAAACCAAAGAGGAAAATACGTGGAAGAAATAATAAATGAAGAAAATCTCTTTGTACATAATGACGGAATCCAAAAACCTAATCAAAATATTTCTTGTATCGACCTAACCCTAACCAGTCCAGACATGGCCATAAACACAGAATGGAAAGTACATTTCGACACATTTGGTAGCGACCATTACCCTTGCCTAATAAAAATTAATACTCTTCATAACAATGTAAACACCACAAAATATCCAAGACGAAACTACAAACTGGCAGATTGGAACAAATACACTCATGAAGTAAGCTTAGAAATCGAAAAATATAATAACATCTCTCTTGAAGAACTGACTAAATTAATACAAAAAGCTGCAGACAATAATATTCCTACCACAAAGCCTAACAACAATATAAGACACATACCACAACCCTGGTGGACAACTGAATGCAATAAAGCAATAGCTCAAAGAAGAAGAGCACTAAACATCTATAAAAAAAACATGACAAGGGAAAACTTCAACAAGTATATGGACTACAGCGACCAAGCAAAAACTATCATAAAAAAAGCAAAGGAGAAAGGATGGGAAGACTTCTGTGCAAGCATTGATCATCAAACAGACCCAAAAGCAATGTGGAACAAAATAAAATCCATTAGTGCACTAATGGCTACAGAACTGACACCAAAAATGCTATTAAAGAAAGCACAACCAACTGCGAAAACTTTTTGGCCAAAATCACTCCAGACTATGTCGAAAACAAAGACGAAACTTTAAGCAACCCTAACGCAGTAATTCCTACACATAGTTTGGAACAGGATTTCACACTACATGAGCTACAACAAAGTTTAAAATCGAAAAAAATGACATCACCAGGACACGACCAAATAAACTACAAAATGATACAGAAACTTCCGCACAACGCCAAAAAAGAACTACTTAAAATATATAATATATGGTGGCACTCGGGAAACATACCATCAAGCCAAAAAGAAATAAACGTGATAGCTATTAAAAAACACGACAAACCATTAGACGACATATCCTCATACAGACCTATATGCCTCATGCCCTGCATAATAAAAACACTTAATACAATGGTTAAAAATAGGCTAGAGTATTTTATCGAAAAAGCAAAAATATTACCATGGTAGTGCACTAACCACATATGGCTTCAGAAAGGGAAGAAACACATCCGACGCAATATACGAACTTAACAATAACATCCGAATAAGCCTATCCAAAAAACAGATAATGACAGCAACATTTCTGGACATAACACAAGCTTTTGACAATGTGCAAATATCAACACTAATTAAAACGCTAAACAAAATAGGCACACCAAAAACATTTATAAGATACATTCAATGCTTTCTCACAAATAGAACATACACCATGGAATCCAACCAGGGAAAAATAACCCGATTAACCAATAATGGCCTACCACAAGGATCTGTTTTAAGCCCCATATTATTTAACATTTACACCCATGCAATAATGGAAAATCTTGACAAAAGAGTTAATTTTATACAATATGCAGATGACATCATGATAGAAACCAGCAGCAGAAACATAAATAAAAATATTAAAATATTTACAACCACATTAAATAAACTACAAGACAGACTTAAACATCTAAACCTGCACAGCAAACGGAAAATTATAGAAGTGTATAGGATGACTCCGCGTTTGAATATCAAATCTTAAAGTTTTATCATAACTGTATTGAATCGTGCTTTGTTTTTATATTTTTCGGCTCTATACCTATGCACGACTATATTTAAAGTCAAACTCAATGGTGTCTTACAAGATACATTATTTTGATTTTCTATATTCAACAGAGGAGTAGAAACTCGACCCTGTTGAATGGTGCAGTCATTTATGTCTCTAGAAATTATTAAAAAAGTGTTCAGTCCAATGGTGCAGCAACTTCGGATTCCTATTCTCCTCAGAGACATAGAAACTCAAGCTTTTCGAATTTTACTGGCAATGATTTTCGTTAATGTCCCCGAGAATTATACAAAAACAGCGCAATGCAATATCGCAACGGTTTCGACTTCTCTTTACTCTACCAAGTTATAGAAACTGGAGTCTCTCTAATACTGTTCTAGTCAATATTTCTGAGAGTATAAAAAGAGGGTGTAATATTGCAAGAAGTTTTGATCTTTTGATGGATGCAAGTAGTTTGAATTTTCTCATTTCTGCATATGATTTTGTTGAAAATAGTTTCTTTCTTTGGTTCCTTTGTCTGATTTTTATTTACCGTAACAACTCAGGTATGTAAAGCACAGAGGATATGATGTTAAGTATATTTATGTATTATATAAAGTACCTATATTTGTATTAAAAATTTCAGAGGTTATGTTGAAAAACTGATCGATATGGTATTAAACTTTAATAATTTAGTAATTAGGTCTGTTGGTAGACCCTGCACTATCTCCACTGGTATATGTTAGTTTTGTAATATTTAAATCTGGTTGATGAAAAAGTACACACCAGTGCAGGTTATTGTAGCATCTACGAACAAATGAATTAATGGCCCATTGGCAATTATTCCTTTAGGAAAAATATTTAACACAGCTTAATTAATTAATAAAATGAAAAAAATCACAATCATGTCGTATATAGTTTTTTTTAAGCATAAAATAATTTTTATATTAATACTAGTTCAAAAGTGAAATTACGACCTCTATACTGTGGAGAGTATAGAAACGCTCGACTGACGAATACAACTCTATACCGCAGGGAGATTTAGAAAACGATATTCAAACGTGGCGTCATCCTATACACCTCTATAATTTTCCGTTTGCTGTGAACCGAAACACATAAATTCCTAGGCATATGGCTGGATAGAAAATATTCCCACAACAAACACACAACAGAAATCACAAAAAGAATTAAACAAGACTGCAACATTTTAAGAGCAATAAGTAGAGGCACAAACCAGAAGACTATGCTTATGATATAATGTAGGGTTGTAGGGTTCTTGCTTTGTATACAAAGCAAGAACCCTACAAAAAATAAACTACGGAATACTCAACTATGGAACACAATTAACTAAAAAACAAATAAAAAAAATAAATACAATGCAAAATGAATGCCTAAGAATATGCCTAGGTACACTAAAATCCACCCCCCTACATGTTCTCAACAATGAAGCTGCTATGACCCCAATCAAAATACATATAGAACAACAAATACAAACAACCTTTACCAGATGGTGGATAATCTACAGCCACACAGATAATAAATTAAACACACTAAATCACATCATAATGGCAAATAAATACTGGAGCAAAACCAAAATACCCTTGGATATACTTGCATACCGAGAATATAAAGAAGCACTTGAGCATGTCAATATCACCTACCCGCCAAACGACTTTCCATTACATAGAAAACCACTAAATATATCAACCAACATACCCAACATCAAATCCAAGACAGAAGACTTAACAATAATCAAAGCAGAAACTCTAAGAATGATTGACACAAAATACAAAGACCACGAAAAAATATATTGTATATATACACTGACGGATCAAAAAAAATCGAATACACGGCAGCTGCAGCAGTAATTCCAAATCTGAAAGTTATAAAAAGTATTAAAATACAAGCACACGCCACAATACAAACAGCTGAACTAACAGGGATCCTTATGGCCCTACAACTGATCGAAGGCAGCTATGCAGCTATGTTATCCTAACAGACTCTAAAGCAGCCCTGCAAACGCTCAAAAGGATGAACACACTAAATAACAAACATCCACTCGCCGAAGAGATATACACAAGGGTCACTGACACCAGGGGCATAAACATCATGTTCCAATGGATACCTGGACACATCAACATCCCAGGCAACGAAATGGCAGATACGGCCGCCAAAGAAGTGTTACACCCAATAAGCCACGTAAGGGTACCACATAGAGAGTTAAATCAAACTATTAGAGACAAAATAATGGAAAAGTGGAACCAAGAGTACAACAATGAAATAAGAACAAAAGGAAAATGGTACGGAAAAATTCAAGCAAACATTCAGTTAATACCATGGTTCCACAAAACAGACCTTAAAAGGCAAGCCACAACAAAAATAATTCGATACAGGACTGGACACGGCCTCCTAAACGAGAAAAAATTCTTATTCAAACAAATAGATAATCCAGACTGTCCAACCTGCGAGGTACCAAAAGACACAACAAGCAAGACAACAAACCGAAAAAGACACTGGAAGCAAAATCATGGACCTACTAAAGAACATAGACCAGACCTACCACAAACTAAAGAAACTTCTGAACAAAGTTCCCAACTTGTAAATAAACGTTGTACTTATGGTTGCATAGCCTTAGGCTAAAACCTTGTGTAATAATATTTGTTGTAATACTGCACTAAATCGAATAAATAAATAAATAAATTCAATATTTTCTTGGATTTAAATTAACTTTATATAGTTAATTTAAATCCAAGAAAATATTGAATGGTAAACTGTTGATTCAATTGTTAACATAATTTTTCTTTCAATGTACAAATGTGTCGCAAAAATGAATATCCAAACACCGATGGCATAAAAAATTATGTCGTGATTTTTTATGCCATCGGTGTTTGGATATTTAATTGTGCGCCACATTCGTACATTGAAAGAAAAAATATACCTACATATATATTGAATCAACAGTTTTTGTGGTTAAATACATTCAATATTTTTTTGGATTAAAATTATTAGTTAATTTACATCCAAGAAAATATTAAATGTATTTGACCGCAAAAACTGGTAATTCAATTGTTAACATACTTTTTCTTTCAATGTACGAATGTGGCGCAAAAATAAATATCCAAACATGTCGGTGCACCGATGGCATAAACAATCATGTCGTTATTTTTTATGCCCAAACACCGATAGCATAAAAAATCATGTCGTGATTTTTTAGGCCATCGGTCAATCGCAAACAGTGATGGCATAAAAAATCACGACATGATTTTCATTTCTCACGCAGTGACATCCGGATGATGTCCGTATGAATAAAATTTGTGAAAATCACGACGTGACGTTCGTATGATTTTCATTAATCACGCGGTGAATTTCGTATGATATCAGTATGAATAAAATTTGTGAAAATCACGACGTGATGTTCGTATGAATTAATATCACGAATGTTGTCCGGGTAGGTTTTAAATTCGCAGTTCGCAGGGCTCATACGCATGCGCAAATTTTGCAAATATCACACCGTGGGTTCTACATGATGAGCTGGCCAAATAGCTTTTAGATAAGCTAAAGGCTATCCCCCCTGATGAAACGGAGACGTTTTTTCAGACCAAAGAAGAAGAAGAAGAAGAAGGGTTCTACATGATATCACTGTGATGAAGCATGTGTATGCACTCACAGCGTGATAAAAAAAAATCACGTTGTGATATCATCATGACTTCACCAGGAAATCCTGATTGTTGTCCGGGTATATATAAGTAATTGACTGTTTGAGTCATAACTTACGAGTGACTAAGTATGACTATAGAGTCTATATATAGTATAGACTATATAAAAACATCTTCGCGCGCCAAAACTTTTAGTGTGATAATTTACATTCTGATTTGCAAGCGGATAAGCGATAAAAAATCCGCGAAAAATTAGAATTAGATCTACGAAAAATTAATTGAAAATTACAGGATTCGCGCGGTTTAACCGACCGAATTTTTTGTTTTTTCGCCAATTTTTTTCATACTCGTTTCATTAAAAAGCTAAATATTGCATTGGTGGGGGCCCCTAAATGGTGAGGGCCCTGGGGCCGTGGATTTTGTTTTAAAAAATCGCTAATATGAATTCTTAAAATACACTTTAAAACAAATCCGTTTAAAAAAAAACAAACACATCTTGAAAATGATTTACTTATTAATTTTGTAATGACGTAATAGATCTTTGACCGTTGTAATAGAACTATTACAAATGTAATAGAACTATTACAAATGTAATAGACGGAACAACACTGATAACTGATAATTAATAACCTTGCAAAGAATTAAAAGCGACAACAGAAACTATCACAGTAATTCATAAAAACATGGCGAGATGGCGCTTTTATTAAAAAAAATATTAACTACGGATTTCTACGGATTTTTCATGGTTTTAACACGGATATTAGTTTTAAAAGGTTAGCAACACTGGGCATAACTCAACTTTATTGATTAATTGCACCTGGCTTCAAGGATGTCATTTTGATTACATTGTAATACATTCAAGAGTACTTTGTTTTCTTGTTATTTTGTATGTTCTACAAGTTAAAACAATAAGAAAATTATCATAAAGAATATTTTAGACTATATTTTATATTACTATATTAGGTAAGTATTTCTTAAACAATTTATTGTTTCAATTTTCAAATGTTTATAATTTTTAGCTAAGCATATAGATATTTTTAAAATGAATACAACATATCAAAACAATACAATATCAGAAGCACCTCCAACACCTATTAAACATAGAAATGCTGATCCCAATACAAGTATAACAAATAAATTGTTACCTCTAGCAGCATTCTTTATAGCATTTGTTACTGTTATGACAATTTTAATAGTTTATATGGACCACACAGGTAATAAAATTATTTTAAATTAACCCTTTCAGGATGGCACTATTTTCGCTTGTTTTGCTGTGTAGACGGCAGTTTTTTGCAGGGCGGATGGACGGGTGTCATATTTATCTGCCACCTAGTATTTGCTTTAAAATTGCATAAATATGTATTAAAGTGAAACAAAATAAACAAATAATGCATATTGTGTCCCAAAAAAACAACTTTAATTAAAACTGCTCCTCTGCCTACATTGTAAACGAAACTAGTCACTAGTCACCTAGGCCTTTTACTGAATTTGCCATCCCGACAGCTGTCGTATATTTCCGCCACCGGCAGATATATCGGTCGTTCGTTGGTATGGCATGGATAAGTGGTCACGATTATTCGGTCAGCCGTCTGTAGGGCAAATTGATTTTTAAAAGTTGTCCGAAATATGTATATGACATCAGTCTATTGGGCATGAATAACTCGGTGTCATATATATCTGACAGCCGTCTGTGTGCCAAATTTCTATATGGGTGATTCTCCAGAACGGAGCAAATATGCTGAAACTCTTAAATAAAATATACTAATGAAAGTAGTTAGCATTTAAATAACACTACAATAGACAGTTTATGTCTAGCAGTAGAACGTACTTAACCAAAAAAATAAAACATTATTTATTTTATTAATTTGAATTTGCTTAAACGCTTTAAAGTCAACTCCATGGACTGTCACCACCTAGCGTATGGACAACAAATAATCCATATACTATTAGACTAGATGCAATTGTGAAATGATTCTTTCATATTGCATTTCCTCTAACTTGGAATGTATAAAAAAACACAACCAAAAGCAAACTTATTGATATTTTAACCCAAAATGTCGAATAAAGCATGAGACACCATTTTACAGCTGAGTTCTTTGCAGTCTTTTAATATATGATAAATCCCCTGTATAAAACGTATTTTAGTAAATAAAAATTTATAAAGAACAATTATTTGCGAAAAAACGGGTAAGTATTTTTATTAAAGATCAACTCCATGTCTTTAATAATAAAGGGATTTAAATACAATTGAAATTTAAACTTTCTCCAGGTGAAATAACCAAATATGCTTTGCTTAAATTACAGTTAACTAAAGATACATTATGTACCATTTTCTAAAGTTTGTGACTTTAACTATAAAAACATCAACTCCATGGACATCAACTCCATGGAGTTAAAAGGTATGTTTGGACTTTCTTATTATTGCCCTAAACTCTTAGCTCATATAAGTTAAGGCATTATTAACGGTAATTAATAATATATACACTGAGAAAAAAGTTTATTGCTCCCAAATAAAAAAAATATTTAAATATGGGACAAGGGTACAGTTTATTTATCCTAAATATATTTTTATTCCCGACACATAAAGTTTTACTAAAGTATATTTATCGTTATTATTTCGACTATTTAGAGGTAATAAACAATATATTCACCATTAATAAAAGTATTAGCTACACAGTTTATTTGTCCCATTTTTTTCTCAGTGTAGTTAAATTATAATTATATATAATAAATTTAATTTAATTTTTCTTTAAAAAAATTCTCTAAAAGTATTATTATTATAACTATATACAGCATATACATATAGAGATGAAATGGATAGTTGTTTGGCCAGACACCGGATCCCGAATATCCGGCAAGAATCGAAGCCGGATATCCGACGGCCGGATATCCGGCAGTTGATAGATCGAATTTTGTTTCCTTTATTTGCATTTTTTAAGAATAATATTATTCTATTTAAATAAAAGTATTAATAGTATATTAAAGTACAAGTGGCGAAAGGCACTGTTTTCCCGCACGAGTCCGAAATTACGGCACGAGTCGCGAAGCGTGCGAGTGCCGTAAAGGACGAGTGCGGAAATGTCTTTCGCCACGAGTGCTTTTAATCCGTTAATTCCGTTAATTTCATATGGTTCTTTTCTGACATCTATTCAGATTCAGATTCAGAAGATGATTTGCCGTTATCTTATCTAATTCAGAAATCAACAGAAAAGGCAGTACAAGGTTAGATTTATGTTGTTTTTATGTTATTGTGTCAACTTCATGGTTCAGAACGTCAACTCCATGGACTCATTTATTTTTTGTTAAATAATAGAAAAGTATTAAGTTTAATTTATAGCCGCCTTGAAATTACTTTATATTAAGAAATACACATTGAGGTATTATTTTGCTAGTGTTTTATTAATCTTTGCTTTTTATTTTTTTACCACCCCAATTTATCCCCGTTTTGAATATTCACCCATATGGCAGATATATAGGTCAGCCGTACTGAAAGGGTTAAGATTAATTTCTTAATGAAATTTTTAGAATAAAGTACTGTAAACACAGGTGGCTATTCACCCTGCGGGTGACTAACCTTTTTATGAAAAATATTTCCGCGCTTAATAAAATTAACATTTATAATTTGTTGGTCTAAACCTGTCAATTGAGCGATTCTATTGAGTTTATATTACAGGAAAATCAGTGTTTTAAAGAAATAAATAGGATTTATTACACTTTAAATTCGTTTATATTTCTATATTAGTCAAAATCCTTTGGAATGATGATCCTTGGTTAACTACAGGCGGATTTTTTATTTTATTATTGGTAATCCCTTGCAATAGCTATATGTCGCTGCTAACATGTGTCTAATAACAATAAAATAAAATATTGACTTAATTTTATATGCAACCAGGGGGTAACTGCACACCCAGTTTTTTTTTTGTTTTTAATTTTTATTTTTGAAACTCAGCCCTATGTAATATAACAGTTATTATGAAAGAGCAACTAAAGACTCAAGTTTTGGTAGGTATACAATATTTATGATTGTTAAAACCACCAAAATTTTAAGGTTAAGTTTGAAAGTGAGCTAAAGCCACCCATGTTTACGGTATACAAATATGTACAATGGTGGGCACAGAATTTTTAATTACTATCATCCTGTTGACATCAAAATCTAAACTATTTTTATGGACAACTAACCTTACTTCCAGTTAGTTTTGTCATTTTGACAGTGAAAACAAAAGTGCTCAATATTGTATCTTTGCTACTTACAGATTTATCACAGAATTTTTAATTACTATCATCCTGTTGACATCAAAATCTAAACTATTTTTATGGACAACTAACCTTACTTCCAGTTAGTTTTGTCATTTTGACAGTGAAAACAAAAGTGCTCAATATTGTATCTTTGCTACTTACAGATTTATCCCAACCTATTAGGTTTGAAAGTGAGCTAAAGCCACCTGTGTTTACGGTATACAAATATGTACAATTTTTAATTAATATCATCCTGTTGACATCAAAATCTAAACTTTATGGACAACTAACCTTACTTACAGTTATTTTGTCATTTTGACAGTGAAAACAAAATTGCTCAATATTGTATCTTTGCTACTTACAAATTTATACATATACATGGGCAACCAAATTATGACATTTAAAATTCTGTCTGCCACTATAGTAGCTGTATACCTACTTTTTTAAATTTTAGATTTTTTTAACAAAGTATATAAGTACTTAAGGGCCATTCCACGCGTGACGGATGGGATAGTTGCCGGGTTTTTATTTACAAAATAATGTTGTTCTATTGTATTGCCAATGTCAAATTTTTATAAATGGTTCTAAACTGGAGCTGTTTAACAAGGTTTTTATTTGGCAAAATTGGGTATCGTGGTTGACTCTTTGATTCCTTAAAAACTAATAATTTAAAGCGTAACGGTCGGGACTTTGCAATAGTCCCGCCCGTTACGCTTTAGATTATTAATTTTTAAGGAATTGGACAGTCAATCACGATACCTAATTTTGCCAAATAAAAACCTTGTTAAACAGCTTTTGTTTAGAGCTATTTATAAAAATTTGACATTGGTAATATGGTGGAACAATATTATTTTGTAAATAAAAACACGGCGGCTGTCCTATCCGTTAAGCGTGGAATGGCCCTTAAACTATAGTCGGTAAGATGTCGCCCGGTGCATGGGTCTGTCTTTATGTCAGTGCGACAGCAAAGTCAAGCATGTGCCGCACAGCTAGGGTTGCCACCTGTCCTCCTTTGTGGAGGACAGTCCTCTTGTGATAAGATCACGTCCTCCTTTAAATGGAATATGTCCTCCTTTCTATGTATTTTATTGTGCTCTGACAAAAACATTTTTCTCCAATAAAATAACAGGCTTGCAAACAATAAAAAATGATGTTCGCCGGTATCTGTATAGTGGGTTGCCTAGTGCTTTTTAAAATGCGTTATGAATATTCACTGGGAAATTCCCAGTGGGAATGTTCTTAGATGGTGCTTGGAAGTTTTAGAGGATCATTCTATGGAATATTCCCAATAAATATTCCTAGAATAAAGCGGATTATTCCTAGATTATAGGGCATATTCCTGGAATATTTTTGCACCTTCATTGACATGTTCTAGTTAATAAAGTTAATATTGCAAGGGATCGGTCCTTGGTAATTTCTGTTGAACTTGTTTTGATTTTGGCAACGTCCCCTTTTTTTGGTAAAAATTTTTGAAGCGGGCTTTTAAAAAATGTCCATGTCCTCCAACCCCAAGCTTAAAAGGTGGCAACCCTACGCACAACACTAATGTTTTATATTTTCTGTGCGGCCCATGCCTCCGGCGACATTGCACCAGTGTTGCCGTTTGGGTGTATTTTAGCCAAATCAAGTATTTTTTGTTGATTTTTTCTAATAACACCAATTATTTCTTCAAAAATTACAATGATTTACATCCTTACCTTACTCTCTAAAAATGAATTAATCAAAAATGACTACAGTTATCAGTGGCTTCTTTTTCACTTAGGTATACGATGGTTAACCATGGGATACCATGGTGTCTCCAACATTTAACAGCCAATTCTTATCTAAAATTATCCCCTAAATCCGAAAATACCGTCAAAAATTATGAAAGTAGAGCAGTTTTTGAGATATAGTCAATTCCATATTATATGGAAAATTGACTATCTCAAAAACTGTTTTACTATTTTAACTTTTGACGACATTTTCGGATTCAGGACAA